TGGAGCTGGGCACCTGATCCCACAGTGACAGCAGGGATGCTCTCAGACCATCAGCCTCTCAAATCAACATTCTGCACTCCCCTGACTGCTGAAATGAGGGGAAACTTGGGCAGAACCAAGTGTCTCTGCCTGGCAGAGCAGATTTCAAACTGCTTTTCCTCCTTGCAAAGCCAGAGCTTTGCCCCTTGGTGGGAATTACCTTTCGGACCATCTGCACGAAGTCCTTGGAGTTCTGTGGAGACAGCCCTTGGAGCTGGCAGGTACAGGCCTCCAGGGAGGATGCATGGGCCACTATCAGGATGTTATTTCCTGAAATAAAGGGAGAAAAACAGGTTAAAGAGGGAGATGAAGCCAAATTCAGGCACTGGTGCACAAGATCAAGCAGACCATTAAAAAAAAACAGTTTCAACTTATCACATAACAACACATCAAGCTGTGTATTAGGGAGGAAAAACGTGATTTATTAACATATTTAAAGCATTTCTCAATTTTCAGGATGATGGTTAACTCAGTGCTACTTAGTTTTTGATGCTTTCTGAAGAAAACAAGAATTGCAGTGAGATTTCAGCTGTCTTGGGAAGCAGGTGCTTTTTGCCTACACAAACATCAATTCCTGTTCCAACAAACACTTTAATTTCTCTTGCTGCTTTTCCACTGTGGTAATTTCACATTTCCATTTCCAAGCTCCTTTACAACCAATGCCCCACTGTGCTGTTGAAGTTTTGTGTGCAAACTATTAAAGCAAAAGCTTAGAGGCAGATCAGTGAAATGAAATGAGTAGAAACACCAGACCTTAGAAACATCCCATTTCTATGTTGTGAATGAAAAATAACAGCTAGAGGTCTGGGTTTTTTTTTTTAAATCTCAATATTGTGCTTGGAGAAACGTTTTAAGGTCTTTCTGGGGGATATAATTCAGAGGAGGAGCTCAGATAGGGGAGGGATGATGCTGGGAACAGACTGCAGAGTGCACAAATAGCTCATTTATTCCCTTGGGTTGGGCAGCAATCCCTAAAATACCTTGTTATTTAAGTTTATGGACCTTTCTCATAAGGTGAATTCATTTCAACTCGTAGCTCTGACACTTGCAGGAGTTTCCAGTGTCTCTGGGAGAGGGATGAGAGGTCCATGTCTGGGAATTCCCCCTCTTAGGAGGGAAAGGCTGGTCAGGAATATTGGCCTTCACATCCCAGCCAGCCTGGCTTGTTTTTTCAGCCCCTCTGCAGCACTTACCTTTGCCTTTACATTCACTGATGATTTCCTTTGTTACTTGGTAGCTTCTGCTTATGTAGGTGTCATAAGATTCAGAAACCACCAACTTGCTGACAGGAATATGAGGTCTGTGAGCACAAAAACACACACAGTAAACTGGAAGAAGCAATAAAGTTCTAAAGTGCAGGTTATGATTCATCTCAAGGTATCTGTTCTTTAACTCTCCCCTTTCCCTCAGTCCCCAGAACTTGTGCCAGGACTGCTGTGATGATTTTTAAACTTCAAGAAGGAATTTAAAAAAGAATGCTTTGAGATAATTGGGGGAAATGATAATTGTTTCCTCTGATGGGGATCACTTAGTGAAGGCAGCTGGGTGTGCTTGTGTTCCTCCTGCAGTAGAGATGCTCCTTTGTGTTTCTTTAGGCAGGTGTGTGGAAAAAATTCGGTTTATAATGAGCCATTTGCACATCACGTTCAGCCCAGCAGCCTGGAACCTGCTCTGAGTTTATTTTGGGACCTCAGCAGCTCTTCCAGGCACTGCCTAAACTTGAAAAAGACCCTTTCCCCTCCCCTTTTCTGCTACCTGTAGGTTGTATCAACGCTTAGAGTAGCTGCAGCTAAATCCACAGGGGGGATCCAGGCAGGTAGTGTGTTCCCAGAGACCCACTTGGTCCACTCAAACAAGCCTGGCTCTATCCGGATTTTCAGGTTGTTCTCCTGCTGCATACCTGGAAGAGGGAGAGAAGAGGCCAGGGATCAATGGAAGCAGCTGGGGAGGGAGGCAGCAAGACTTGGCAGCTTTAACAGTTCAGTTTGATTGTTTGTGAATTGTTTTAGTCAGTTGACCTATGGCAGGTATGGAAGATGAAGTATTTAATATATAAGGTAGGATATGCCAGGGAATATAAACCTCTGGCTGGCAGCTGCATTAAAATTAAATGGCAATTAAAGAAGGGTTCTTTTGTGCTATATAAAATATAATCCTCACCCTGAATTCCCCTTCCCCTGGGTCTCCCATATGAGTGTTTTACCCAGAAAGTGAGAGGAATGTTGTGTGTTCTCACCTTTCAGGATGTTGTGTGCTGTCTGCACACACCTCAGGGATGGGGAGCTGTAGATGTAGTCTACAATGGTATTAGTTTCTAGCAAGGCTTCACCTGCAAGGAAGTTTTAACTCCTGTGAGTAAAATCAGACAAGTGGCACTGCAACATCAACAACAACCTGCAGCCACCCAGCAAGGAGCTGCTCAGGTTCTGCCTCCCCTGGGTCCAGCCAAAAAGCAACCAGAGTGCTCAGAAAAACTGGGGAGGGCTTGGATTTGATTTGATTTCATTTATAAGCCATAAATCAGAGCGATTCAACAAAACTCAAACCCAACTTAATTCAATTGGCTCAACTCTAGTATAAATTACCATTTCATTACACAGGTGGGAGATCACTGAAAATTAGATAAGAATCAGCTCCACTCTCAGGGTTATTAATATTCTTGCAATGCCTCAGGGAAACAAAGGAGAACAGGGATGTGCACAGGCTTGTAGGAAGCAAGAATTACATTTTTGCTCTGTTTGAAGAGGCAGGACAAAGGAGTGGGAGCAAGAAGGGGTCACTAACCCTGGCTCCATGGCAAGGTCTGTAAATCTCTTGAGAGAAGTGGGGTAATTTAGAAGGAGTAGGGTAATTTAGGAGGGATCTACCACCCCTCCCTCCCAGGGAAGCTGCTCTTTGGCTTCAGTCATCAGAGGAATTCTGGCTCCAGCACCACAAGGTCACACTTGCAGCTGCAGTTTTGTCCTCAGCCCCCTCCAGTGCCACCAGCAAAGTGTGCTCAGACTGCCCTGCTGTCATGGGCATATTGCAAACCCTGGTGCCATGTGGAGCCCGAGCATCCTGCTGCTGCACGGGGATTTATTTCTGTTTAAAGAAGCAAGTGTAATTTTAGCTGCCCTACTTTGGCTGTGACCAAGGGGAAGGATCTGAAGAATCTGAGTCTGAGGAAATGCTGAGTGCTGAGGCTCGTGTCTTTGTGGGGCTGGGCTCCTCTAATCACAGCACTCTTTGGCCACCAAAAGGTTTTCTGTCTATGCACAAAGAGGCTCAGAATTCAGGGACAAGGATGGGGGGCGTGGGAGAACACTGGAAATAATTTTGACTTGATAATTTATGGTTTTGATGACACAAAGCCAGGCAGCTCGAGAAAAGAATATTAGGGAGGCAAAGGAAGATGGTGAAAGTCAAGGCAGGAGCATATTTTGCATAAGGTGACTGTCACCCTGCTGGTAATAACAGTGTATTCCAAAGGAAACCCATCCTGCTGATGGCTCCCATTTCATCCCATGCCCCAGATTTCCTGCTTTGCCTTTTTCCTCAGCTGCAGCAGCTGAAGGAGAAAAGGTTTCCTTTGAAAGAGGGAAAAATTGCTGGGGAAGGTGAAGGGACTTTGTAAAGCTCCTGGAAACGTCAAAATCTCGTTTGTTCAGGGCACTCAATTCATTTTTTATTGCCTTGCACTTTATCTTTCTCTTGGCTGAGTGTGTGGGAGGAAGACAGCAAAGCTTCCTGGGTAAGATCTCCACAGGATCCTGGAATGGTTTGGGTTGGAAGGGACCTCAAAGCTCATTCAGTGCCACCCCCTGCCATGGGCAGGGACACCTTCCACCAGCCCAGGTTGCTCCAAGCCCTGTCCAACCCAGCCTTGGACACTTCCAGGGATGGGGCAGCCACAGCTTCTCTGGGAATTCCAGCCCAGTCCCTCACCACCCTCATAGGGAAGATTCCTTCCCAATATCCCATCTATCCCTGCCCTCTGGCAGTGGGAAGCCATTCCCTGTGTCCTGTCCCTCCATCCCTTGTCCCAGGTCCCTCCCCAGCTCTCCTGGAGCCCCTTTAGGCCCTGGAAGGGAGTCTCAGGTCTCCCTGGAGCTTTCTGTCACCCCCACCTCTCCCAGCCAGCCCCCAGAGCATCCTCAGGATCCAACAGGTCCACTTGACCCTCTTGTGCTTAAACTGGAAGGAGTTCAAGGCAGAAGAGTCGCACCCCAAAATTTCCACCTCATCCTTGTGTTTATACACCCCTCTAAGCCCTCTCCAGCCCACTCACCACCCTCACAGGGAACAATTCCTTCCTAATATCCAATCCAAACCTCCCCTCCTTCAGCTCAGACCCCTTTTCTGAGGAGGACTTACCAACCAGCCTGGCCTGCGTGCAGCCCAGCACGGTGATGGGAGCGTCCTTCTCGTAGTCCCTGAACCCACCACTCCTCTGAGGTAAATTGTGAGGCATGTTCAGGTTGCTGCGCATGTACCTTCCTGGAGGGAAAGGTTCCAGGCTGGAATTAATTCCTTCAGAGAGACACAGAAGCATCACACCTTCTTCTACCCTCTTCCACCACCCACATCCTGCAGGTGCTGCCCAGCCCTGGCTCTTGAGCAGTTTTCCCCATGTAAAAACCACCAGGAATCTCCCAAAATGAAGTGAAACGCCTTTCAGCGGTTCAAAAGCAGCAAAGGACGCTGCTGATGCTTTTATAAAAGTTATCTTTAGGACAGTTTACTCCATGGGAAAACAATTTCTGTCCCACAACAAAAGAAACCCCGAAGGTCACGCTCTTCCAGGAGGTCAAAATGTCAGAGCTCTTCTGCCAGAAGTTAGAAAGAAGGCAGTTGTGAAATCATCCTTTGGCTGTAAGATATTGCTTTTGTTTTAAATATAAAAAAGACTTTTGGGGACAAATTTCTGATCAGTTCTAACGCCAACAGAGCCTGGAGTTACAGTTTGTTAACTATACTCTGAAACTCAAGCATATTACTGGGTTGAAAACACCAAAAGCCACCCTGAGCTGTACTTTTAGTAGGGTTATTTTCATTTAGCACTGCGAGCCAGCTGTGCAAAATAAATTCCTGATGGCAGTAAGTGTTTTCACTGAACACTGATTACTAACATCATGACTACATTTGTTCTTTGGCCACCTAACTGGAGCATAATCACTCCTGCAACAGCTTCCCAAATATTAGCAAACAAACATTTCCTCCCTGGCTTGTGTTTCTGCTTCTGACTGCAGCCCTGCCACCCCAAAAAGCATCAATCTGTGTTAAGAAACCACAGGTTCTATGTAAGATTTGCCCCTCTCCTTCCTCCCTCCAAACCTGGGAGACCCCAGAGCAGACTCACCTTTGGCATCGAAACACTGGGACAGCCAGTACTTCCCAAAAACTACATCCATCCTCTCCCCGTGCCTGCAGACAAACAGGCAGCGTTTCTGAGGCCCTGGCTGGCTGGTTATCCTCAGGGGCTGGAAGGGAAATCACAGGCTGTTGGACCTTCATCAGAGTGCAAAGGGTTTGCTGAGCTCTGGGAGTCAAGACCAGGCACTTCTTGCTTTACCCACTACAGGAAAGCCTTCTGTATTTATGATTTTTATGGATTTATGAAACTCTTTATGAATTTTATAATATTGGTAAATTTATGGTTGTATAAAAGTGCTGGAGGGAGCAGGGGATGGGGCCCTGCCACACCATCTTAAGAGCCAGTTTGGGGACAGCAATGTCTTCAATGCCTGTGGTTAATTGTGTCATTCAGAAGTTTGCAGAGAACTTTACCTTGTAACTGTGGTGAAAAGAGACCAGGGGACAGGTTTTTAGGGAAAACCCAGTGGCTGGCAGCTTGTCCCTAAGGCTGTGTGGATTTAGGGGTGTGGGGGTCCCCACCTGCACGTTCTGGCAGATGATGGTGAGTGGCCCTGCATCCCCAGGTCCTTGGTCTTCCTGCTGTCTTCTCTCCAGAGCTCCATCAGTGAAGCCTTGAAGGGATGGGGAGGATGTAGTATTCAGGATTGAGTAGGACCTGCCAAAACCAGAAAGGTGTTGTTGGCTTTGGGAATGCTCTGTGTGCCCAGGCTGCACTAAGGGCATTTCTGCAGTTTTCAGGAGCTGAGGAGAATTCCTGTTGTAATGTTATTTTATTATTATTATTTCTGTTTTATTATTATTTGTGATCTACACACGTGAAGAGACAAATTCCACCTCAACAGGCTGTTTCCTTGGAAACAGTTTAGGGAACAACAGTTCCCAAACTTTGGTCTGTGAGGCTCTGAATATTCTCATGGAAGTGCCACAACCTTCCTCACCACAGGATGCTCCCTACCATCACCTGGGGACCAGCTGCATGTCACTGACTGTGGTCTTGTGGACCAAAATTCAGGGATTGAAGCCTGCAGGGAGTTTTCCCTCACCTTTGCAGCACAAGCTGTTGCTGGGGCTCAGCCCTGCTTCTCCCCCTGGGCACAAAACAGCTCCTACCCCCTGGTAGGGACCTGGCACTGTCAGCTTGGGTGGTTGTGTCTACATTTTTCAGTGCTGATTATTCTGTTTCTCACCTCCATGGGAATTTATTCCCACCAGTTCTCCCAGTTAAGTGCAGCCAAATGGATGGAATAGGTCCCACTCTGCCTCAAGGGGTTTATCTAATGATGGTGCCTCTGAATAAAGCCCAGACATGCAAGGACTTTGACCAAAACCCTTGGGACTAAACCCTGACAGGCAATTACAGAAGCTGCAGTGCCTCTCTGCTGACTCAGCACATTGGGTGGGTTACCTTTGCTTAGTCATTAAAAAAAAACCCCATTATCAGATAATGTACGTGGCCATTTGCTTTGACAGAAATAGTTGCTAGTGATTGCACTTTTCAGTGCCTTAAATATGCCAGCACTTGCTTCCTGATGGCATTTAGTTAGGATAAAATCTCAGAGGGGCTCCACAGCTGTTGAAATAACACTGAGTGCCTCTGCCAGAGGAACAAAAATAGGTCACCTGCGTTTTTGTTAAGAGCTGATTTGTGAGATCACACCATTTGCACCAGTTCAAAGGAGACAAAATGCCACCTTGTTGGTCCTGATAGTTTCTCCAGCCTCCTGCCCTCACTTCAGACCCGACCTTCTAGTTTATTTTAACTGTGTTTTATTCATGGTGAGTTTTCCCAACAAGGGCTGGCCCTGCTCCAGGGAACTTTTCCTCTCAGGCAAAGGTTCAACACAGATCCATCCTCCCTGACCCCAAAACTTGGTATCTCAATATGAGAAGAATCTCAATTTCTTAGCCAGACCCCTCTCTACTGCTGCACAAAGTGGATCTTCTTCCAGCTTCCAGCCCTTCATCCTGTCTCAGCCCTTTCCTGCTTTGCCCATGTGACAGTTTTTTAAGGACACCGCCTGAAGAACACTAAGGATTTTTTGGTTACTCCTCTTCCTTTGCCCCCAGGAGCTGCCACACAATTTCTGGGACTTTCTTTCTCTCTAAGCCCTTATTCCAAGGCACCTATTTATAGATGGGAATGATGATGAGGCAAAGGCACCCTATGTTGCTGTGTCTGGAGAAGAGCCACCAGCTTGTCTTCTACCTCCTTCATGCTGCTGCAAAACAGAAACCACTGAAGCTATTTCAGCTTAGTCATCCTCTAAGCACAGGTCATTGTTTGGAAGCTTTTCCCAAAGGGAAAAAAGAGGCAAACAGAGGCTGAAGGCAGAGAACAACATCCACTGTGTTCTGGATGATGTCTTGTCCTCACTGCTCTCTCAGGGGTATCTCTGTGGCCCTGGAGGAAAAGGCCCCTTGGAGAGAGGGGATGGTTCAAGCAGAGAATGGAGAAAGGGTCTCTGTCACAGCTGGTCCTCAGCTCTTGGTGGGAAAAGACCCCTCTGCCATATCCCTCATCATTATCCAGAGGAGAGGGATCGCTGTGGAAAATGAACCAGCCCTTGTTGCAGAACAGGAGGAAGAAAGGGTGGGGAAAAAACCTCCTCAGGTCCAAATATAGCTGGAAAAATTAGGGCTGTTTTTCCTCCCCTGGCACTTGTGCCAAGTCTGATTTCTCAGGGTTATTAAAGGGGCAGGGAATGGCTTTGGCATCTCACGAAGAGCTGAAATCGCCTGTGGTGGAACATCCACAGCACTCCTGTCCATTCTGGGGCAGAGGAGGTGACTATTTCTGGCTTTGCTGGGGAGGGAAAAGCAGTGCAGGGAACCATCCTACCATGAGTGCCGTGGTAAGCTGTCCTTAGGTTGCTGTATGGCTTTGACCACATGACATTCCATTACCTGATATTCCCTGTGGGAAGCCCCTGTGTAAAACGAGACCGTTTCTGGGTGTGTCACAATGGTTTTGGTAAATGCTCCACATTTCATGCTCCAATTCCTGATTTATAGCCTTCAGTGGCAACAAGGGAAGGGGCATTTCCTTTCTTTGCTTGCCTGGAGGCAGAGGTGCTGGAGTTAGAGAACATTTGGCTTCCCTTTTAGTTGCTGCTGCTGCAACAGTAATTCTTGCCCATGCTACTCCCTGGGCATCAAAACTCTTGCAGGCACTGTAAGAATAAAAAGCAGGCTCCACTAGAGCAGAATGTGCAGTGTGAGTGGACCTGAGAGTATTTTTTTTTTTAGGAGAAGGAAGGGTGGTCTTGCTGGATTGCAGATTGGAGGGTCTGAATTGAGTCCTGCCTTCACACAGACAGTGCAGGCAGAGGGGCAGCAAGCAGGATGTGCCTCTCCTTACATACAAACTATTCCCTGTGCTCCAGGTTTGTCAAAGGCTTTTGGCTGCTTAGATATCAACCCACTCCTTAAGCACTACTTTTTTTGTCACTGTTTAGCTAATTCCCACCAAAATCAAGGGACAAAAGGCATAATCTCATTCAAAAGGTGAGGGCTGCCTTCTCTCTGAAGCCTTCTGAAAAATCCTGCTAAGTATCTTAAGAAATGTTGCTGATCCCAAGCCCTTTTCCACAGAAGATGTCTCTTCCCAAATTAATGTTCAGATTTAAACCTTCCTGATCCTGGTCCCACCACAGAGGTGTCTCCCCAGCAGTGTCTGCAGCAGCCATCTGCTCCAGCAGTGATCCTATGAGTGATAAATAGCTGCTGTAACATCTCAGCTAAAAAAGTCACACTGTCCTCTAACCCCATGCCCAGGGGCAGCATCTGCTCTTCTTGGCTCAGGAGATGGGGCTTTGTGTGCCAGTTCCTTTCCCCCAGGGACCTTCTCAGCAGCACTGAGGAAGTGATTCTGCCCCTGGACTCAGC